CCGGTCGGTTAATTGTTCGAATGGTTTTGACCATTTTTTAATTTGTTTTTTTTTTGTCAAAACGAGCTGGCCGTTCGGGTTGAATGGTCGGACCGTTCGGGTCGAATGGTGGGGCCGTTCGAACCGATAATCGGACCCCTGACCGGTTCGTTTATAAAAACCATGGTTGGGATGCTTCCTTATTGGAGGCATGCTCCCTTTTTTAGGCTTACATCATTTGCGGCGGTCTCACAACGTAATTTAATGTCTTTATCTTCTTTAGCAAATTGATTTGTAGTCTGTAAATTAGTTTATTAATTTCTCATTTCCTTGTTAACTGCCCTTGTTAATTGTGATATTTTGGGTTGTATTCTAAGCATTTATTAATGAAATTTGCCTTATAAGGCTTAAAAAAATTCCTCAAAGACCACATGAGAAAATTGACCTAACTAAAAGTGATCACTTGTTTTTTTTTTTTWAAAAAAAAAAAAAAACTAAAAGTGATATGATAATGCGCAATCTGGATGTTCTTAGCTGGAAGATGATTTGGACCTTAGTCGCATGGCGAGCTAGACCAAACTACAAGATAAAGGATCAGAGAACCCGGGGTGGCTAACCCGACTTGGTCACTCCGATGCTTAAGTCAGTACTGTATTATGGATGTGAGCTGAATACTTGAGTGCTAAAGTGCTAGTGAGCAAATAATCGCACGTACCTAAGTCTTGGGGGTTGATGCCCTTATATAGCTGAGATGTCGTAGGTCTCTCGAAACATTCCCGGAATCTTCGGTCTGTGACATTGGGATCCGTTCCGCTTTGGTAGGAGAGTAACATGCCAATTAATGAGGTTTATCATTACCCTCCAATTCGGATGGGGAGAAGATAAGGCCTACGATTACGCGACGTGATCCCGGGAGGTTCGGAGATAATTGGCAACCTTCTAGGTTCGGTTACGTGACACCTCGGTGTGTATGGGCACCGAGGCGCTCTAGTTCCGAAGGGACCAAGCTCCCAAGGTCCTGCGGTCTGATGTCGTGGCATCACACGCTAATCTGTCGTCTGGCTGGCAGGTCGTATCCACGTTGTCCCTTACTCATTAGGTTAGGCCAAATCACCCCTCATCAATTGCCCCCCATTCCACATGCCAGGGGTCCCAACCCGGTGCGGGGAGTTCATTGTGAGCCCAGGTGGGTTTGGCACAACTTTCAGGCGATTCGGGAGATGACTCTTCGGTCAGACCTGCATAACCCATTGACTCGACCAGAGAAAGCCCAGGTCGCATATCGGGTACGTGCGGATGTCACGCTATTTATGAACTCCGCGGACGTCAAAACACGCGCTTAACTGATTTCGACCTCGGTTTTTTGGCAGCACCCTATTGTTCGGATTACTTCCAGGTGGCCGATGACTCAAAGGCTGAAGTGGAGGATTTTTGCTGGATGAGGACTTGGATGCTAAGCTGACTAGGCCGAGCTGGGGGGTAGATTGTGTGCCAAGATAGGTTGATTGCCGAGATGGGTAGCTCTTTAAAGAAACTTGCAAGGAATCAATGTTGGAGGACCTGGGGTGACTAACCCGGTGAGGTTGCTCCGATGATTAAGTTAGTACTCTCATAGTAGATCGCGAGCTAAAATCAGAAGGTATGAAAGCTAGAATGTGCTTACTCAGCTCTCTCTTGTGCCATTGGGGTTGGTGCCTTTATATAGGCATTGTTTGGTGTGGGCCTCACGCACCGCATCCAAGATTTCCGGGAGGTCATGCCTAACCGGTCCAAGATCCTCGGAGGTAACCGCCATGCACATTGACCATCATCCAGAACATTCGGTACATGGGGAAACTTCCAAGAAACCTGAGAGCGTGAAGATATGCATGTCGAATTTGTCGACGAGCACATCTCACAAGTCACCGCCCGGTCCCCAATAAAGTCAATAAGCCCTCGAAGGAGGTCGCTCCTCGCGTCGAGGTCACTTCGGCCGGTGACGAGGTGCTACAAGATGACCCTAGACGAGGTGCTACAAGCTGACCTAAGTTGTGGTCGAGGTCGCTAGGTCGACGCAAAGTCAGGTCGCTAGGTTAGCGGTAAAGGCAGGTCGCCAAGTCAACGGTAAAGGTAGGTTGCCAAGTCGGTGGTAAAGACGAGCTGCAATCTAGGACTCCAAATCATCACTTAGGTGGTGTCTAGGTGTCATTTAGCTGTTCTGAAATGCCATGAGTCACAATGTCATTGGAGGGCCAAATCCGCCCTCATCATGATCAAATATTCTTTCCTTCTTTAACAAGAAAAATGATTTTCTCTTTCCTTTTTCTTTTGGTGGGGGTGGAGGTAAGAAAAGCGACCCAATCAAGTTAGCTGCATAATTAATTTTAGTGTGAATTGTTGAAACCTCTCTTGAAGTTTTTAATTGCTGAATCTTCTTTAACAACTAACATTTCAGGGTTGAGTAATTAAGACAGAATGGGATCTAAAGATTACACTTTAGGACCCGCTCATTTTTTGAATTCCAAGAGGGGGAAAGTTGGTTAATGGGATTTTGGTTCCCATTGACTAAGATACCCATGTTCTTTTTTCAGATCTATGTGGTGTTCATGGAAAATTTATTTTCCCTATGTATCACTTGTCCAGATAAGTGATACTCATCTCTTAGGTGGATAAGTAACTTTTCCAATTGAGGAATAAGTTGCAAACACTTGGAAGAGACAAATTTTCACTTATAATAATGGTTTTTTATCATTAAAAGAAAGATTGCCTTGTATATCTAAGAAGTAAAAGAACATGGATAAATGTACTTACCCGAATATGTTTTTCTTGAGAAACACTAATCTGGATAAGTAACTTTCCAAAAACAAACAAAACCTTAGAGTGAAGTGATGAATTTTTCAAAACCCATATATATTATAGGATATAAACCAATACCTTGTGATATTTCGAACTTTATTGGAAGTGAAGTGATGAATTTTTCAAGGGAAAGGAGAGTGTGTAACAAACAGAATTGAAACTTGAAAGTAGAAACTATAAAGGTTGTAGATAAGGAAAAGCATAGTGGGCGGACTTAAAGGGAAGCATACGTGTCTTTGGGCAACTTGGTTCCCAACCTTATTTTTTGAACAAGTTGTCATGGTGTCTTTGACAATGAGAGGTAGGCCCTTGGGGCCTTTTTTCTGTTTTCTTTATAGGGAGAGATGGTGAGAGTGTTAGTTGGCATTTGACTTTAGAGGTTCTAATGGGTGATAGACTGATGGAAGTGGATAAATAGTCCCTCTAACATCTTCTAGAGGAGTTCAGATCTGCGCCCCACAAGGGGGCGCCGCACAGTGTCCAACAGCACATCTCTGCCATGTATTGGAAACATTTCTCGATAATGATATTATCGGAACTGGTATTATTATCGGGAAATATTTCCAATACATGATGAAGATGTGCTGTAGGACTTTATGGGGCGCAGATGTGAACTCCTGATCCACGTTGATTTGATGGACCCACCAATTCTTCAGTATTGGCTCCTTGGTCTACGTACGCCCCATGTTCCAATTCTATGTAGTATTGTAATGTTCTCTCTCATTAAAATGATGCAATCATGAGGTTACATGCACATTCTTTAACAATCCATTACATTGGTGCTGTGATACATATATCTACTTGGTGTTACAAAGATACCCACGATTAGGAATTGGGTAAGAAAATGACTTTGGAGGCATAGGCTTCTCCCCTTAGATTAAGTACAAGAAGTGACTCATGCAATGCATGGGCTGGTGTTACAAAGATGCGTATGCTACATTCATGAGTTCAATTATGATGCCGAAAAGACATAATACCTGAAAAACTTACAGCCAATCATCCGACATGATAAGTGGTAACTAATCAGGTGGATTTTTATCAAAATTTATTGGTGTTTTGATTGGTCAAAACCCCCTTTCAGTATTGTGCCTCAGCATCAGAGATCTTTTCTACGTTCAATTTTGTAAATGTGGTTGTGGGTGAGCTTATACAGCCCCGTATTTATTTTTTTTTTTAGTTTTAAAAATTCAAGGAAAATACAATTTTAAAGGAGTTGGGAAGCAATAAGATAAATCTGACCTGAACAACTGCATTTTACCATATAGTGCAAATTCTATTTCAACCGATCCAAATCATTCATCATGGGAGAAGCTTATTTCATGATCTTCATGATGGTAAGCAAAAGGGGGTAAAACACAAAATAAAAGATAAAAATGAAAAAGTAGAAAAGGAGCTCATAACAACAATTATTTTCTGCTATTGAGATAGATCCCAGTCCTCAACATTCAACACAACAAGGAACATGCTTCCCTTGGATTTTGACTTGACAAAAGAATTGAAATGGATATATCACCAATCATCCAGATCTGAAAGTCTCACTTTCCCAAAAGTTTATTGCTTTAAAATCTAAACTTAGGACCCGCTCTTAAAAATCTTTAAAGCCAATAAAGAACAAGGCTGTGTAAAATAGGGAAAGCTTAAAATCTTAGTGTCAAGTATTATTGTTGTACAGTTGGTTATTTTTGGTTAAAGTACAGTTAGTTAGGTGCTTTCAAAACAACACAACTTGGAGAACACATGTCCTTGAATTAATTATAAATTGGGCGCCTTGGGCTTTATAAAATTGGAAATTCTTAAGAGTAGAGAGTTGAAGGTTGTATATTGTCAGTATTCTTATAATGATATTTTTTGCAATCAAAATTAGGCAATTTCTTTTTCTATCAGGATGTCTAGAACAAGATAATACTTAGAGCCTCTTAACTCAACGCATTGGCTATATTGGCCAATACGTATCGTATCAAGGGCTTCTCGATACACCTCTACAGGGGTGTTTTGGGGTTTAACCCGGTTCAGGGGGTAGACGGGCCTTAAACCAACCCTCTAAACCAGGTTTTAAAAAATAAACTAAAAAAAGAGAAGCGAGCCCCGATACAGTCCAGTATGTCCCTGCCAGCGTATCAGGTTGTATCAACATTTTGAACCTTGATTTAACTATTTTGTCCACTACAAGACAAAGAAACAAGTCATTCAGTATCAAACGGCCCCTAAAAGAATATGAATTTATAAACTCTTTACATTGAAGAGTGATAGATGACTAACCATTTTAATGAAGTTCTCATATTCAAAAATCAAAAATTATTTGGTACCACTGTAAGTGACAAAGATAACACTCTGGAAATAATGTAATTTACTTGCAAAGAATAAAGACAACCTTTTGTCTCTTCCTTATCTATGGTTTTACTTGCTTAGAAACATGCTTACCCTTACAACTGAGACATCTGCAGGTTACCAGTAGAATCCTCTCTAAGACTGTTGATGATGGTCATAATTGTTGTACATCATTCACTTCCTCATCTTGACTGTTAGATGCATCTGGGAAGCTCCTCAAAATCTGTTATATAGATGACAAAAAATAATAAGAAATTAGTTGCAGGATTGTTACTTGGCTATGCGCCTGATATAAGGAAAAGCAACCAAAAAGATGAAGGTAGTTTACCTGACATAGGTGCCATGAAACAAAGGCATCAGTGGCAGCATACTGGAGTTGCTCCCTTGTTAGAAAATCAGATTCCCAGTTTCCAAGTCTAATTTTATTTCGTTTTTCCAGCTGTAAAGTTATAAGAAGGGAAAAATAAGAAAGAAATGGAAAAAAGGAACATTATTAGATCCCATTTGAGCAAGAAAGTGGACCTCTGTATGCAACTTAAAGACAAGAAATCCTGATCCAACTAGATATTTTCTTCCAAAGAGGGATCTGGTTACCACTTAGTTATGGTCATAATCATAACAAAGATCCTAACAAAATGATGCAAGTAAAAGAAGGAAAATCTAATTGTAAGATGATGGCATTGCACAAGTATGCAGACCTGACGGACTCGGGCTGAACCAAGATCAGACTGATCCATTTTCACACCAATTAATTAAAAGGCTAAGTGCTGGACATTTTAGAATACCAATAAATCAGAATGTGTTCTAATTAAGTTAGAAAATATTTTAGAAGAGCAAAGCATTCAGATTAAGCTGTGAACATTCTAGAATGATAAATAAGCATGTGCATTAAATGAGTAAATAAAGAACAATGCAGATTAAAGGGTAAAATTGGGAAAGAGAAAAATAAGGAATATCTAGACTAAGAAACTTCTAGATTCCAGCCCACCAAAACTCTATAAATAGGGGGCTCCATACCCCTTTTAGGGACCTTTTTGGGCCCATGACTCCCATGCTGATCCATTTCCTCTCTTCCCTTCCCTCTCCTCTCTTCTCTCATCCTCCCCTTTAAAACCAGCAACTATCTTCTTTCTCCATTGCTGGAATTCCATCTCCAACGAACTACATTGACCTGATCCCTCAGTGGAGGGTATGTAGACAGCCCCTCTGGGGGTCCAATCAGCTGTCTTTCTCTCTCCTTTTCTCCCCTTTCTCTTCTCTCCTTGTTTTGATTGAAACAGTCCAAGGAGATGAGCAAGACCAGTGTAAATAGACAAAAAGGAAGGACCAAATCAATCCCCAACACAATAAAAAGAAAGAGCTGAAATAAATGGCAAGAGGATCAAACTTGCTTTGATACCATGTCAGTGAAATTCGAATAAGAGAATGTGAACAGATTTGTGGTGCGTCCAAGTGAGTTGACTGCACCAAGAGAAAGATATTTATATTAATGAAAAGTAAAAGGACAAATCTGTCCCTAAGATACAAGATGTATGATACAAAATGATGTGCTTTGCCTGGCATCATGGGCCAGCCAATGTCCACCCTTGAATCTCCTTCCACTACAAGGAAGATGGAGAGAGGAGAAAAAGGGCAAAGTGACGAAGATTTCCAGGCAGTGAACAGGTGGAAATTTGAATTGAACATCAAAGCAAAAAGATTGCTGTTCGAACTTGGAAGGGCTAGAGGTAGAAACCTGCTAAAAATCAGAGAGGATAGGAAGGCGATGGTTCTATTACATGAGGAAGCTGTGCTGTGGTTGAAATGGTTCATTGATAGAGTAATCAACTCCATCAGGACAGCAGGATGGAGAAACTCTTTGGAGGTGCTAAGAAAAAGATATAAAGTTGAGTTAAGGAGGAATGGGAAAGGATGGATCAATACCATTACAGAATATTTTGCTGATAGGAAACAGATGGTTTGCATACCGGAAGGGAACCAGTTACAGGGTTGGATATCATTCGCAGGGAAGTTACAACAGTTCCTGGTCTCCAAAGACAGGACCTCAAAGGAAGAACAGGTGCCAAGCGGTGTAAATGATGAGAAGAAAGCAAAACAGACCTCAACTCTTCGGGGCGGAGTAGTTGTAAGGAAACTGTTAGATACAGCAGTGAATAAATTGAAACTGAAAGCTGAGGTAGCCTTAAAACCATTCTCAGACAGGAAGGCGGAAAAGCTCGGTGACGAAGTAAATCGGGGCTTCATGACTTACGAATCTGAAGAGGGGCTCGTCCAAGTTCAGAATTGGAAGCCACTGTGTAATGAGGTGGAGCAGTTCTCTGGTAGCTTCCTGCTAAAACTGGAGTAGAAATCACTGTTTGCTGATTCAGTCAAGCTTCTTGTGAAAGAAAGAGGGGGAAGGTGAAGATTTCAGCAGTAGAGAAGGAGAAGAAGAAAAGAGTAGGAGGTCAACTAGGATTATCAGAAAAGTTAACCCTAGCCGCCTACCTCTCATTATATTTATATTTAAGTTAAAGATGAGATATTACAAGGATGCCCTTAGTAGGGCGGCTACTAAAACTGAACAGTCACAACTTTAAAAAATATAAACTAATGGGCCTAGGCCTACCAACTTCCTAACTAAATAAAAACAAACTAAAACAAAACCGGCCCACTCAACACTCCCCCTCAAGTTGGGAGTAAATGTCACACATTCCCAACTTGCGTAGATCATGCTCCAGCTTGCTCTTTGCAACACCTTTTGTGAGAACATCGGCGACCTGCAGATCAGAAGCAATGTATGGAAGACAAACTTCTCCAGAAGTTACCCTTTCTCTGATAAAATGTCTATCCACTTCAATGTGCTTAGTTCGGTCATGCCGGACTGGGTTACAGACAATATTAATTGCTGCCTGGTTATCACAGTATAGCATCATGGGTTCTTCTGCCTGTACACCAATTTCTTCTAACAGAGAGAGGATCCAGAGAAGTTCTGAAACTCCGTGTGCCATGGCCCTGTATTCGGCTTCAGCACTTGATCTTGCCACCACTGTTTGTTTCTTACTCTTCCATGAGACTAGGTTACCCCCAACTAGGGTGCACACTCCTGAAGTTGATCTCCTGTCACCAAGGCATCCTGCCCAATCTGCATCTGTATAAGCCTCTAGTTTCAACTATCCATGATTAGTGAACAATATGCCTCTGCCCAGGTGTCCCTTCAGATAAGCAAGAATCCTATCAACTGCCTCCCAATGCTGGACTCGTGGAGCATGCATGTATTGACTTACTACACTCACTGCATAGGAGATGTCTGGTCTTGTCATACACAAGTATAGCAGCCGACCCACAAGTCTCTGATATCTCCCAATGTCCTTTATTGGTTCACCTTCTGATGCATTGATTTTATGGTTCTGATCAATAGGGGTGTTAATTGCCTTTGTTCCAAGCTTCCCTGTCTCTTGAAGAAGGTCCAAGACATACTTCCTTTAAGAGAGAAAAATTCCATGTTTCGATCTTGCAACTTCAATGCCTAAGAAGTATCATAGCTCTCCAAGATCCTTAATTTCAAATTCCTTATGTAGGTTCCTTTTCAGACTATCAATCTCACTCAGATCATTCCCAGTGACAACAATATCATCCACATAGACAATAAGGACTGACACCAAAGATCCCCTGTGCTTCACAAACAAAGTGTGATCGGATTGAGTCTAAGTGTATCCAAAAGCAATCAAGGCCTTTCTGAATTTGTCAAACCATGCTCTAGGAGATTGTTTCAAGCCATAGAGTGACTTCTTGAGCTTGCATACCTTTCCCTTTTCAATATCATTGTAAAAACCAGCAGGAAGATCCATATACACTTCTTCTTGCAGATCCCCATTTAGGAAAGCATTCTTCACATCCAGTTGAAACAAGGGCCAAGAGTATGAGGCAGCAAGAGAAAGGAGTATCCGAACGGAGGTCATATTTTCAACTGGCGCAAAGGTCTCTAAGTAATCAATGCCGTAGGTCTGTGTGTACCCTTTTGCAACAAGTCTTGCCTTGTACCTTTCTATACTTCTATCTGCCTTATATTTTACTGTGTAAACCCATCTGCATCCAAATGTCTCCTTCCCTTCTGGTAGGTCCACAATGTCCCATGTTTAATTCTTAATCAAAGCTTCCATCTCTTCCTACATAGTTGTCTTCCACTCAGGTTTGGAGAGAGCCTCACTAACACCCTTGCGTATAGACACTGAATCAAGAGAGGAGAGAAAAGCACGGTAGGAAGGAGAAAGTCCACTGTAGGATAAGTACTGTGAAATACAATGAGCAGTACACTTTCTCTTTGAAGAAAACTGAAGAGAGGAGAGCTTGAGAGTTCAGCAATGAGGGTCTGAGAATGAGAGTTTCGAACATTCCCTCTCTCAGCACCCTAACACTCTTTTATTAAGATATATTTGAATAATTACAAGGAGGCCCTTAGTTGGGCAAGAATTTACACAGAACTTAATATAGACAGGATGGGCCCAGAATAAGGCCCATTACAGAAAAGAAACATATATAACAAGAAAGACTAAACAACCTATGGGCCATTTGGCCCATCTTCTCTACACTCTTCCCTTTTCTGAGAGCAATAGGAAGATCAAGGTTATCTGTAACAGAGTTAGTAGGATCAATGGGAACTGAAATAGCAGTAGGACCAAGAGGAATACCTGAATCCATGTCAGCCGAATCTAGAGTCTCCAAGGGATCAACAGGAAGTGGTGTGAGTTCTGCTGTAGTGGAATCAACCGCCTTGTGAAGTCTCTGTCATGAGTAATGCTGAGAAACAGACCGCAAAGGAGGTGGCAAGGTAGGTGCCACAGGGTGGTGGTCAAGCACAGGAGTAGACACAGGGACTGGAACTGGGAGAGGAATAGATTGCTGAYTYACTTCCCCAAAACACTCCCCCTGAGAAGGATTCTTTGAGAAGAACTACGTGGATTCAAAAAAGGTAACATCCATGGTAACATATCGGCTCCCAGAGACTGGACCATAGCAGCAATACCCTTTCTGATTCTCTGCATATCCAAGGAAGACACACTTCTTTGCCTTGGGATCAAACTTCGAGCAATGAGGACCAAGGATATGTGCAAAGCAGACACACCCAAACACCCTGAGAGGAATATGAAACATCTCCCTCTGAGGAAAAAGAAGACTGAATGGAGTGTTGAATCCAAGTATACGAGAGGGCACCCTGTTAATCAGATATACTGCTGTGAGGACTGCATCACCCCAAAACCGAACCGGAACTGTAGATGTGATCATCATGCTTCTTGCAGTCTCAACAATGTGTCTGTTCTTCCTTTCTGCAACACCATTCTACTGTGGAGTGTAGGGGCAACTGCTCTGATGGACAACACCTTCACCTATTGTTTCTATTGATGGATTTCGTTACTTTATCAGTTTTATTGACCACTATTCTCGATGTATATGGATCTA